AGAGAGAGAGAGAGAGAGAGAGAGAGAGAGAGAGAGAGAGAGAGAGAGAGAGAGAGAGAGCTCGATATATATGGCTAGCATCTGGTGCATCTCGAGTGTCTTAATTATGGCTGCTTGCAGGTGCGGCGAGCACAACTCGATCTTCGAGGAGTGCAGCGTGGATAACGTGACGACGATCACTGCAGAGCGCGTGCTGGAGGTGACACACGACACCGTGCCGTACGCCTACGACACGATCTTCCTCGTCGGCTACATGCTCACCTTCTACGTGCTCGGCTACCTGGTGCTGCGATACCTACGCAACCCCGAGAAGCTCTTCATCATGAAGAAGAAGACGTGAAGGTTGCGGCGAACGGACGTGAAGGTCGCGGTGAACGGACGTGAAGGTCGCGGTGAACGGACGTGAAGGTCGCGACTGCGCAGGGACACAGTTCACTGAATGAAGGAAGTACACAGAAGAAAGGATGCACAGTCACAAGGGTTGTTTAAGGAAAACTCCAAAAGTAGCCTTTGTAGACAGGTGTCTATTCTTTAGAGGTGGTTTCACTGTATAAATGCCACTCTCGGGAAATGCCGTGCGTCTTTATGGTCGGATCGCCGTTCTATAGAAGCGTCTGCTAACACAGGTTTGAGCGTATATACGAGGACAACGGGGAGAAAGAACTCTACGATTTATAGTAATCTGGGATGCCACGGGAGAGACGATCGAGCTGGCCATGTCAGTTAGTAATAGTTATTATCTAGTACGAAGTACGAATGAGAGGCATTCAAGAAGTGAGCACACATCACCTTCAGGTTGCAATTATTGTCTTTTGATGAAGTGAAATGCATCCCTTGTTCATCTTAATGCCTTGCTATTGACTATTTGATGCAGAACAGGACCATATTTTGTAATTTGAATTTATGAAGTTGCTATTGTGGTTTACTGGAGGTAGCATGTGTTATTAAAATGAAAATTTGGGAAAAATAAGACAATAGGAAAGTAAAGGCGCACAAGCTATTGGTGCTTTGTATAATCATTCAAACGATTTTTATACAGTGGAATATGTCGTTATTATTTAGATTTTTATTTAGTACCAGCATTGCTATTAATAGCACAAACTAACAAATCAATAGGCCACTCTATATTTAGAGTAGCATGTCTACTATCTGTGATAGTTCCATAATATGAACATGCAACCCCAGTACACTTTTCAAAACAATAATTGCTTCATTAGATCGTGCTTTATTGCAGCTGGCAGGCCTCTGATTCAGCCTTGGTACCTGTTACTACAGTCCATGTTATTTATTAGTGATTATTTAAGAAATATTTACTGCTGAAAGCATAAACTGAGGTTCGGATTAACCTTGAAAGTTGGAAATTTGAATAAAACTGTTACAAACGTTTTTAAATTAGAGATGTTATTAGTTTACTATGAACAATGGATACATTCTATTTGGAATGCAAATCTCAGACTTTATATAGCACACAAAAATTGAGAGAAATTGTTTTTTTGGATACCATTCTTAAATTTCATATGTTAACAGAGTGAAGTAATTTAATAACACAAACGCAATGAAAGACTACTGAGTAGCAACACCAGAGCACCATCTTGAATAAATCTAACAACTGATCAATAAATCTAAAAATAATCTATCAGTTAGTTCTCGATAACTAAATCTCATCAATGTGGACATAGTGTATACACAGTACGTCAGTGATGACCCGTGTGTCTGTGCTTGATATGCAACTGTTCTTCTAGCTGCTCGGTCTCCTGTTGGTGTCGTATCAGCTGCCAGTAGAGGCCCTTTTTCCTCTTGAGTTCTGTGTGCGTTCCCTTCTCTGCAACGACTCCGTCTGCTAAAACTGCTATCATGTCGGCATTCTGAATTGTGCTCAGACGGTGAGCAATGATCAGCACTGTCCTGCCTGCAGTTATGCGGTCTAGAGCCTCTTGCACCAGCCGCTCAGACTCCGCATCCAGAGCGCTGGTGGCTTCATCAAGAATGATCACAGATGGTTTCCTAGAAGATAACGAATACAATGCAAGGCTTACAAGAATCAACAAATAGGAAGTGAGGAGACTACACTTAAATTCCGATTTCCATAATCAACAAAACCAAGAATTCACAAGAAATTTCAAGGTCTTTATTAGCATATATCACTGAATTTTTTTTGTCACTTGGCTCTAGCATAGACCATTCGCGATGTGTTGCCATGGTTTCCAATAGTTTTTTGCAGCAAAGCTACTCATTGTTATGAGGGCCTCACGTTAATAAGACCACCATTACTACCCATTTATACAGCATTGTTGGATGGTACAACAGTAGTGAACTCAGTGAAACCCCCAACCCTAACCCAGCCATTTGGGCCCAATTTTTAAAAGTGTGCCATCCACTAGACCATCACTGGCTCCTATCATTGATGTATACTAACATTTCATTTGATAATCGAATTAGAGGATAGTAGCATTTAATAGCATGTATAACAAATTTGCAGATTTGTATAACAAGTCAGTCACAGGATAAATATGCACATGTGTTCCACTATCATAGAGACGATTTTGCCTTCATTCCAATGTTATGGAACTATGTACGATTGTACGTACATGCATTTCTATTGATATGAGACTAAATTTAATGTATAATATCTATACTGTAAATGCCTCCTTTATAGATCTATTGTAAACAATGAATGCAAATCATTTAATACCAACAGAATAAAATAAGGATTAAAAATCATATGCCACAATGCATCTGGGTACCATTTTCATACCTCCGTTAGTAAGCAGTACTCACTTAATTAACGCTCTTGCAATTGCGATGCGCTGCTTCTGTCCACCCGAGACTGTCACCCCTCTCTCTCCAAGCACCGTAGAATAGCCGTCCGGGAAATTGCGGATGAAATCGTCAGCATTAGCGAGTTTCGCTGCCTCATAGACTTCCTGGTCGCTAGCCTCAGGCCGTCCGTATCTGATATTCTCCATTACACTGGTTGCGAATAGGACAGGCTCCTGGCTGATAAAACCTGGCGGTGCAGTGTACATTAATTATCAGAGGGAAAATGCAGAATGACTGCATTACAATTTTTCAAGCAACAGGACAAATGTTTTGAGCATTTATACTTATTATTTACACTGAGATATATATAGTAATGATAATAGTATGTTGACGTATAACAACGAATGCATAATACAGGTAAACCCGTGTCACCGGCCCAATAGAACAGATATCTGTCTATAAAGAGCAGCTCTGGCATGTCTCTTTCATGATAGGTGAAACCACCTCTATAGAGCAGACACCTGTCTATAAAGGACACTTTTGTGTGTTTCCCTTAATCAACCCTTATAAAGTTTTGACGGTATTTACTGACCTATCAGACGGCCTCGCAGCCACCCTGGGTTCAGCTCCCGCACATCGACGTTGTCAACGGTGATGCTACCGTCTTCCACCTCGTAAAACCTTTCGAGCAAGGCGGCGACGGTAGACTTTCCTCCTCCAGAGAGACCGCAGAGGGCCAGCGTCTTGCCCTTCTCTAAGTGAATGCTGAACTTATCAAGTATGACCTGCTCAGGCCGACCTGGGTACCTGAAGGTCACGTCGTTAAACCTGACGTCGCCGAATAGTGAATGATATGGGATGGTTCTCCCTCCTGTGACCGGGATGGTTGGTTCACTGCTCATGTACTCGAAGATTCTTGCACCGGCAGTGACACCTCTCACAGCCGTTCCAAACAGTAGTGACATGGCCGCCAACGATCGCTGAATCGTCTGAGTGGCAACTAGAAATGACATCATGTCTCCAGCCGAGAGTTCGTTCTTGGAGAGCAAGTGGCCGCCGACGTAAATCGTACCGAGTACGATCATGTTCAGTGCAATATTTGACATGCTCTGGAAGACTGCAATGCCAATTCCCAGCTTCTCGTTCATCCAACGTGACTCATCCACTTCTCTCTGGAAGATCGCAATCTCGCTATTCTCCATAGCAAACGCTCGTACAGTGCGGATGTTCCCGAGGGCCTCATCTGCGACCGCTGTGGATCTAGCAATCTGGGCCTGTGCTTGACGTGACAGTTTCCTCAACACAGACCCAATCAAAGTCCCAGTGATGATGATGGCAGGCACAAAGATGACCATCAGCGCAGTCATCTTAGGTGATATGATATACAAGGATGCGACACATCCTATTGTTTGAGTAAGGCTACGCATTCCCTGAGATATGCACATCTTGAATGCACTTTTTAGTTCTTGAATGTCGGATGTCAACCTGTTTACCATCTCTCCAGTTTTGTGTGTGTCAAAAAATGCCATGTCTTGGTGAAGCAACTTGGAGAATAGCTGATTACGAAGTCTAGCTGCAAATTTCTCGCCTACGTGCGACAAAAGGGTAATATAGAAGAACGTCAGCAGTCCTTGTATACCATACATTGCTAAGAGTCTAGTCGCTGGTTTTGAAATCTCCGCAAGATAATTATGTGCATTTTCTGCCGTATATTTGGATATGACACCAACAAGGTCACCTAATAAAAGAGGAATCTTTATGTTTACTATGGCCACGGCAAATGCACTAAGAATTGCACATACTAGGAACCATATTTCAGGGAGCAATAACTTTAAAAAAGTGAGCCACTGAAATTTGGGCTCAGTCGGATTTTTGTCAGTTTCGATAAAGCGTGTCCGAGTCAACTTCGAGGCACAATTTGCATTACTCAGTCTAAAAAACACAATGGCACAAGTTGAAGTGCCTATCCAGAATCCATATGAGATCTTCATATAGTCGTTTGTCCTTGTGCCTCCTTTTGCGAATTCTTTCGCTCGTCCAATTCTTCTGGTTGCATTTCGCACAGCAACGGAAAACTTCGATGCCGTCTGAAAACACTGCCGAAAATGCGGTAATATAACATTTCCTGCACGCCTATATAGTCCTGACGTTACAAAATATCTTGCACACTTTGTAGATGAATAACTGCTAACTGTCGTCGGTTTCAATGTTTGACATACACGAAAGCTGTGAAATAACTTACTAAAGCTAGAGTAACGAATGGGCGCTGCCATCTTGCCGAGTGATGGGGCGCTCAAGTCGGATTAATTTTATTTTTAATTATTTACAAAATTAAATTAAATGCATTATACATAATTTTTATACCTACGACTCGTAAAATGTTGTATGTTGTGTTTTTAATCAATATATTATGGCTTAACTCATTTTTACTTTATTTAATAACATCGCCATCGTCAGTATAAAAATTTATTTTATATATATATATTTATATATAAATTTATAATACAGGCCCGTAGCCAGCTTTATATTGGGGGGGTTCGTTTTTCAATGTTGGCAATTTGCTCGTCAGAGGCGTGTGCAGGATTTGTACCAGGGGTGGGTATAACCGTAACCGAAAGTTGCGAGCACGCGAAGGGGGGGTCTGGTCTTAATTTTTTTAAATTAGACCCCCTCAGATACGCTTTCTGCGCGAGCAAC